ATTTTCATAGGCCCTAACTTGAGTTTTTAAATTCATCTTGAGTTGAAAATTTAGACTTGAGCAAAGTCTTCTTGGTTACTGCGTTCAATTATAAATATAGGATTTAGTTCATGATAAAAATTATACCATAAATTAGATTTTATATTTATGACTGAAGTAGTATTAGTTCATTCTTTTCCCAAATAGCAAACCACAAGCTCCATATATTTTTATAGAAGACCTGTAAGCAATGAATCTAACTGGTCTAAAATTAATTTTAACACAAAAGTTGTAGATCTGAATCTCTCTCAATATAAAAACATCATTAGCAAATAATTAAGCTGGAAGTAATTATGCGTGTTCTGGTTGAAGAGCCAACTCACTTGAGTTTCTGCCCTCATTCAAAAAATTAATATTAACCACCCCATTTTTAATATTTTAGTAGGTTATTTTTTCCAGCATTAAACGTAAACCAAATATATAAATAAAATAAAATACTACCATAATTGGCTCCTATATAGCAAAACAAAGCCAATAATTCTATTGTTAGGCAGATGGAATATCCTTCGAGTCTCAATCAATGTTGAGTCAGAAGGCCATAATGCTTTGCTTAGAATGAATAAGACTTGCATTTCGTTCCTTTTCCACTTGCCTAAGCACTCCATAGTGAAGAGAGAGACATATACTTGGAAGTGCTTGTGCACAAAATTTACCGTGTCAAGGTCTTATAGCCCCACTCACATCAACCATATTTCTTAAGGTTTTTTTTTTCCTGTAAGTATGAAGTTGTGAGTTTGTGGAGTATATAATGTGTTTGTGAGTCATGGGGGGAAAAAAATATTATGTGGTTCACAGTGAAATCCCCAAAATTTGAAGACATTTTTTTAGTTTGTTAATTTATTAATGGTCAAAAATAATTGACAGTGAACTTTTTAACAACTATTTTGCAAGAAATTGGGCATAAGAGGATGCACATAGGAAGATTCAAACATCATATCTTAATTCAAAATCTCACAATTGTGAGTTTATTGACCATTTCACTTATATGCACTCATATCAGTTTAAAATATAAGTTTCAAGTTTTTTAAGGGGTCTTGTCTTTCCTATAAGTTACAATTTGAATTTGTTTGATTAATTAATTAGTTTGTTTTAATTTTACCTCTAATTCTCTAACATTTGCCACGCTTCTCTCATTATCTTTTTTCATATATTCTCTTTTATCATTTTTTTCACTTACTTTTTTGTATAAATAATAAGGACATATTTAAAAAAATAACTTATATATTTATTATTTTTAACTAATTCTAACTGACTTCTTATTAGTTATTTGAAGTTTATATTTTGAACCATATTAGTTATTATTAAACTAAACTCTATTAGATGCAGGGCCAATCCATTTATACTTCACATCCTAATATATAGTTGCTACTTTTATTATTTATAGTAATAGCTTATTACTGTTTTCGATTCTAATTATAATACCTCGTTTGTAATCTACAAATGAGATCTTATAACTAGGACCGAAGGTAGTACTATGTAATGTTCATTGCAATGAATCACAGCTCATAAGTGCATCAATCGCTAATACTTCTAAATAATGTGCCTTACAAGGAACCTTATATAGTAGTTGATGACTTGAAAATAGCAGTGCAATTTTCTATATTATTATATATATAAATATTATTATTTATTTTATTGTATATCTTTAATTTTTATTTTTTTAATGTTTAAATATTCCTCGAATTGCAGAGGTCCAGTTATGAAGTTATTATGACTCCCTTAAATTTTACTCATGTGCCTTTTCGTTGGGAATACTCTTATAAGCTATTTTTAACTCTTATAAAATTGAATGATAAAATTAAACATTCATTTAAAAAAATTAATAATGTCACTTATAAATAAGCCTTATCTCTCTAACTTATAAATAAGACTAGAAAAATGACTTTATTTTGACTATTATTTTTAGTTATTACATTTATTACTTGAATCAGACTTATATTGATAGGAAGAGTAAATTAAAAATTTGCAAGAAAGACAATCATAAATCCCAAAAATTTATGTAGAATGATTTACATTTAGAACTATAAATTCTTGTTAAAATATGACCGACATAAAAAGAATGAAGGAGTGCACTGTACACCCATGTATATAACCCCCTAACATTTGACATTTTAATACTGAAAAAGCACACTAATTAACAAAAAGAATTTTATTTGAAAAAAAAAAATCAAAAAGAATGATTTTCCACTTTTAAAGACCGAAAAATTATCATCACATGATGCAAAAGTTCAAAATCATATAGACAACAACTTGAATGCTAGACCAAACATAGATACTTCACTTAAAGGAAATATTTATACTTTTCCGTAATATAAATTACACTATGAAAAGAGTCTTATTATTTAAAATCAGAAGAGTATGTTATATTTTTATCATGAGAAAAAATAAACACTTAAAATTTTCTGTCAAAAAATAAAAAATTAGTGGGTTTCGTTCAATTGAAGGCACATGGGGTCCGGTCCAAAAGCAAAAGCGAAATTGACTTGCAATTTGGAAAATAACTTGTTAAGAAAACCATATTCACTTGAAACACTTCAACTTGCAAGTTGTAATTATGATTCCAAACGACAAGATTTTGATTCCGCCGCCCACCACATTTGCGGGAGTGGATTCCTCAGATTCCAACGTTTGACGCCGACAATTCAAAATTCTGACCCTGAATCATGTGGTGCGTGCTTCATGTTCTGGGAATCTAAAGATCCTGGGAATCTGCGAGTTTCCAGTCATGTGTGAGCAGCGAGATTCCACACGAGAAATTAAAATGTCAGGCAGAATCTTGACTAGGCAGGAGAGATAAATTATAAAATGATAAAACCAGAAGGTAATGATGCTCTGAATCTGAATCTAAAGACTAAACTTTTTGGGAAAATCACTCAAAAACCCAAAATTTGAATTTAATCACTAAAAACCCTCAAGGAATATAAATATGTTATTATTTAGAAACTATCATCACATGCTGCTAATTTGTTGAGACCTTTTAATGATTACTGCTGCTTGTTTGGCAACCCGTCAAAATCACTTTTGAAAAGTATTTTTTCGTAAAATGAAACAAATTTTTTCACATATTTACTTCGTAAACTGTAAAAACACTTTTGAAACTATGGTTTGGTTTCCATCCAAACACCAATTTCTTTTGTAAGACTTTTTGATAGTTTCAACCATTATTGAGCATTTTATTTTATATATACTCATATTTAATAAGGATAATAAAAAAATAAAAATTAGCATTATCTCTAATTCTAACTATAAAACCTTATTTATAGTTTATAAATGAGATTATATAATTATAATCGAAGGTAGTAGTATGATGTTAAAATTTAGTGTATTTAATAATACTAGCATTGGAAATAACTTGAATTGTATGACAAATTTATTGTTTGTGATTTTTTTTATTTATCTGTCATATGGGTGAATTAGTTAGAAAGTCCTTATAATATATCCCACATTACGGGGAGTATATTCATTCTTTACAATCTCATAATGATTTTCCCAATTTTTTTGGTTTATTAATTATTATTCTTGTTAGAAGTAACAAGTTAAAAAAATATTTTATTATTAACTATAAGCAATATTACAGATTTTTATAAGTTAGAGGGATACTAATTAGTTCAACTATTTCACCGGAGACCAAATATAAAAGAGCATAATGTTTGGTTTTTTCTTGTTCGCCGGCATAATGTTTGGTTTAACTAATAGTAGTAACACCATGCTCATTACAACGATGACTGCGAAGTGTTTGCCACACTTTGTATCATTTAGATAAATTTTGGATAATCCATATTGAACTAAATTTTTTTATAAATTTTATATAATTTTTTGTTTTAATAGATGCAGAAGTCAAAATAAATATAATCTTATAACTAACACTTTCTTTTAAGAAATAAATTTATCATTAAAAAATTATATATTAAAAATTTTAAATTTGAATAATCCATGTCTGATTTTAGATAGTTTAAATTGTATTACAATGATTAGCACATGATACTTATTACTGTTATGAGCAATAAGTACCCATGACATGCTCACAAACTTTTAAGTTGGACTGAGGAATTTGAAGGGATTTTGTTTTAAAAAATATCTTTTTATCATATTGTACAAAAAATTAATTGAACTATATTAATTGTTTATTTATTTTTTTATCAACAAATTTCTATTTACCGTTAACATGTATTTCATGATATACAAGAATTTTTTTATTTTATATTTTATGATATAAATTTTTATCTTGTTTTTGTCTTTTAAGATGTATTTAAATCAGTAAAACTTATCTCACCAGAAGAAGTAGCAAAAATTGCATTAATTAAAATAGAATAATGTATAAGTTACTTTTCTTTTGTGAAAAATAAAAGTATGCACACATTGAAATGGATGGTATATATAATTTTAATGAAATTCATGGAAATTTTGTATGAATGATTCATTTATTCTTCCGCAAGAAGACAAGAATGATCAATTTGCTTTTATACTGTGGCCAAAAAAAAAAAAGAATTTGCTTTTGCAGAAGAAATTCCCACATAATTAAAAACCGAAATGAAAAATCAATGGTGGCGCAATTAGCGGTTGGCTTGATTGATTAGCATGTATTACCTCCGGTCCTAATTATAAGAACTAGTTAACTAATTTGAGAAGATTAAAAAAGTAAGTTAAATTAGTTATTTATAATAAATATGTGTTGTTTTTCCTAAAATATCCTTATTAATCAAGTTTATTGGTTAAAACTATCATTATTAAATGGATTACTTTGAAAAAAGTACATAAATATAAAAGACAAAGTGGATTGAGGTCTTATAATTAGAATTAAAAGAAAAGTTAAACAAAACCTTATATCAAGTACCGAGAGTAGTATTATTTTTTTTTTTGTATGAAAATTTTAGGTAAAGGATTGGATTCACTCACAAGTCACAAGCCGAACTAGCCAATTACATACAATCCAACCATTTGTTGAAAGATGCCAAAGAGGGGTTGTTGAAGACGACGGAAGTTGCCGACAAAATGGGAGTCCCAATGGGATTCAAACTCGTCCGAGGCGCTTACATGTCAACAGAGGGAAGACTCGCCGAGTCACTGGGTCAACCGTCTCCGATTCACAACACCATTGAAGACACCCATAATTGCTTCAACGACTGTTCGTCTCTGATGCTGGAGAGGATCGCGAATGGCTCCGGGGCTGTCTCCGGCGGAGCGGTGGTCCTGGCGACGCATAACGTGGAGTCCGGGAAGCTCGCGGCGGCGAAAGCTTGGGAATTGGGATGGGGAAGGTGAATCACAAGCTTGAATTTGCTCAATTATATGGAATGTCAGAAGGGTTATCGTACGGATTGAGCAACGCAGGGTTTCAGGTGAGCAAATATATGCCGTTCGGACCGGTGGAGATGGTGATGCCATATCTTCTGAGAAGAGCTGAAGAAAACAGAGGAATGTTGGCTGCTTCTGGGTTTGACAGGAAGCTCATGAGCAAGGAACTGGCAAGACGACTCCAAGCTTCTGTTTTCTGAAGAAGAAATCAAATTCCAGAAGAAAAGCAGCAGTGATGATGATGGTTTTAATAAAGATAAATAAGAGGAATAATGAGGTGGGATGGAAGTGTATGTTGTTATGGGGGAGAGTTTTTTGCTTTTGAGATCCAAGAATGAGAAGGGAGTGTGAAGGAGGTGATGACATGTGTATTCATGTAAAGATTATTTGGACAGATAAAAATTGTCTCTCTTTCTCTCTCTTGCTCTTTTTGAATTTCAGGTGAAAATTATTGTGGTTATATGTTAATCAGCTTTGTAAAAATTGTGTATTATTATTTATATAATGTCATGTGCTTTTAAAGTTGAATGTATGCCTCCCGTCCTAAGCGTAAACTACCTATAGTTGAATTATGTAAAGAAAAGATGTAATTAAAATTAGTTAAAAGTAGTAAATATATAAAAGATATGTTAGAAATAAAAAAAAATGGAATGGAATAAAAGGCTGGATAGAATAAGCGAAAAAAATATGACCAAAAATAATTAGAATCTAATTTTTAATATAAGAGCTTATTTAATTTTTATTTTGATTCTACATATAAAATTCTAATCCACTTTGTTTTTCATATTTATCAATTTTTGTATAGTAATTCTTGTTATAGTGATAGTTCTAACCAGTACATTTGATTAGGAAAAATATTTTTAAAATGACAATACCTATTTATTATAAATAATTAATTTAACTAATTTTTTTAATCTACTTAAATTAATTAATTAGTTCTTATATTAAGAATCAGATGTAGTATTTTTTATTAAAATCACTTGAGTTTAGCCAAAGTAAATTTTAGTCTATCTGGTCCTTATTATAAGAAACTATTACTAAGCATTAATAACTAATTCACACGTACCAATAAAAATAGTTTAAAATATTAAATTTGTTATAAAATTTAAGTAACTTTTAAAGTAGGGAGAATTAAAATGAGGTCCCAAGCAAGAAAAATAATTAAAAAAAAAGTTCCAGAGGTTGTCATTCTCACTATAAAACTTGTTATTATAGGCTATTGAGGTTGTTATTGGGACCTTTCGATAATTATTTCTTTTCTGTGGGATTGGTTGTAATTCCCCTTTTAAAGTATTGCCGTCATTAGCTACATTAAATTTCAACACCATATTAATTTTTTCTCTCATATATAAAAAAATATTTAATATTTATTGAAACTAAGAAAAATGACAATAAAATACTTTTTGAATTTCAAAATAACAAATTAGGTATCCGAATAAACAAAATGACAAAGAAAACATCAGGTACCAATCTGAAATTTTGATTTTTGGCCTCAAAACATGTTGCAAAACTCATTGACAAAGTAGTAATTCTCACCATGAAAATTGTAAACCCCACTATGTGTTTTGTAAAATTCAACGTGGAATTGTGTTTGTTTTTTATAGAAAAGTTACCCAACCTCTCAAAACAGGTTGCAAAACCCATTGAATAAGTAGTAAATCTCACTATGAAAGTTGTAAATCTCTCTATGTGTTTGTAAAACTCGGTGTGGAATTATAGTTTTTTTACAAAAAAACTTGCCCAACCCTTCAAAATAGGTTGCAAAACTCATTGATAAAATAGTAACTCTCACTATAAAAGCTAAAAATCCCACTATGTGTTTTATTAAAATTACTTGAGTTTAGCCGGTGTAACTTATACTCTATCTGGTCCTTATTATAAGAAACTACTACCAAGTATTAATAACTAATTCACACGTACCGATAAAAATAGTTTAAAATATTAAATTTGTTATAAAATTTAAGTAACTTTTAAAGTATTGCCACCATTAACTTTAACATCATATTAATGTTTTCTCTTATATATGGAAAAAAATATTTAATAATTATTGAAACTATCATAAAATCTTATAAAAAGGAGTACAAATTTTTCCAGAAGTCTTATAATAAAGACAAGAGCAAGCAGCTTATTTTCAACAATTGGCAAACATTTTTTATTTTGTATGTAGCTAAAAATGGGTTACAAACAATTAATGAAGAGATAATACCTCAAGAGGGATTTTTCAACAATTTTTGTATAAAGGGCTAAAATATAGTTGAACACACGGACATATCCGGTTTATTAACTTCGACGAAGAACAGGCTGTGAAAATGACGTTTGTGGATATGTATGTAGTTGTTTAAATCCACATGCATAATACTTTTAAATCCGTGAAGAATTTTCTATTGTAAGATGTTCCCAGACATTTTATATGGCTTTGAATTTTGACCGCTTTTAGTTATAGGACGGCATGATGATGAGGAGATGATGTGCGATGATCTTATCCTCCATTGAATCTATTTTATCATTTTTATGGCTCATATTCTTACAAGTTATTACAACCATATCCCCTCATCCTGTTATTTGTTTTTCAAACAAATAATTCTTACCAGTATCTTTCTATTTATGTTTGCGGTATTGTCGAGCTTTAAATATAGATACGTTTCTTAACATAGATTTGAAATTAAGATTTTTATTATAAGTTCATAAGTAGGATATTAATTATTTTTTTTTTTATCGATTGTCCCTAATTAAAAGTTGCACAATTTTCCTTCTTCATGGGTGGGGAATTGTAATTTATGATTTTAAATAAGAGTAAATTTAAAAAAATATTTTTAAACAAATCTAACAACCTAGGCATTTCTTTTGGCTGCGCAAAATGATTAAAAAAAGGTTATAAATAGATATCGAAACAAAAAACGACTTGGTTTCATATCAAGAAACATTCAAGTCTTGGTCATTAATTTTATCCGATAAGATAGAGGGTGTAAGTATTATTTTATAATTTTTATGGCTCATATATTTTTTTAGAAGTGAAACTTTAGCCAATCTGAAGGGAAAAAGAATAGTCTTAGGAACTGAGTTTCAAATCAAGAAACATTCAAGTCGTGGCCACTAATCTTATATGATAAGATAAAGAGGCTGTCGGAAGAGACTTGGAGGGGAGGAATTTGGACTCTCAGAATTAGACCGATTGATGTGATGTGCCTACAAAATGGCTCCAAATTCTCACCCTTGAAAGCTCGCCCATGAATTTTGTTTATACTTTTTGCCATCTAATTGTTTTAGTAGTATAAAATTTTAATTTGATTTCTTTGTTTTTTTTCGAAACAAGGGTAACAAGTACGCTTCCTGAAATTTGAACTTGTGTTCTTTTTTTTATGGAAGTGAGACTGCTACCACCTCAACTAACAGCTTGTTGATAATTTGATTTCTTTATTTTAAAAGATATCTTTTCAGTTCTCTGATTCTAACATTATTAATCTAAATTAAACTGAATATATTGCAATTCAAGAATTTTTTTAATATTTAAAATTTAATATTAGCATTGTTAATGACTTAAGATCAGAGAAATAAAAATATATTTTACAAAATTAAGGAATCAAAATAAAAGCTTGTACAAAGTTTTTTAACAAATACCAATAGCTGAAACCCAGAAAACTAAAAAAAAAATTATTAGTACAACCTAACCCACAAAAACTCACTAAAAAAAGAAAAGAAAAGAAGCAACAGTAGTTTTGAAACAACAACAGTACAACTTAGCACGCAATGGTCTTATCAACAAAATTATAGTCAGGGAGTGTTTGGATAAAAATCAAATTATAATTTTAAAAATAATTTTACGATATATAAAAAAAGTATTTTACGAGAAGAGTAACTTTAAAATAACATCGACACAAGAAGAAGCTAATTTGTGACGACTTTTCCACAAATGTTTGCAATTGCTTTAAAAGCAACGTTATTAAGTGAAGGGGACCCATTTCCAGTTAATATTTCGCATTGTTCACATTGAAAGGGACAAATTGTAAATTAATGCCTGCACCATCCAACTTGCTTGATCCTATTCTCCATTCTGATTTGAGTAAATCTAATTCCACAATGATGACATTGATGATCCCTAAACCTTTTTTTTAAAGAAGAATTGATGACATTTAAGTTTCAAAACATGATTTTTTTCCCGTCTTTAAAAAATATTTACCAATAATTAGGTCACCCAAAAAACAAAATCCTGAAAAGCGAATTGCAGATATCGATTCAGATGTTGTGGACAGGAAGTTCAGTCATAAACTTGGAGTTACATTTGAAACTTTCACAATGAAAACTTCTCATTACAACTTATTTTCCTGTGATTAGATCATTCTTTTGGTACTTAAATATTATTATCCTCTTTTCTTGTTCTATAAGAAAATATATGTGAATGTGATTAGATAAGAAATGTATTCTTACTTATCACATCAAGTGATCAAACAATTGAAAAAAGGTGGATTCTCTTACCCTTTCTTGTAGATTCCATGGAATGGTCAGAAAAGAAAATTATGTGTTTAGTGGTGAATGCAATCTTACACTTCATTTCAAAATCTGTGTTTGAATAATTAAGAAACCCGAAAAATTAGGCATGACAATTTCATTGAAAATATATAAAAGGTTGAAAATTAGGCATGACAATTTCATTGAAAATATATAAAAGGTTGAAAATTAGGCATGATTATATATATTAGAATTTATTATTTGTAGGATGGAAATTTAAGTCCATATACTCAAAAGGTCCTTTTCTATTTTTGTTTTTATTGGCTGATTGTGGAGCGTGATTCTCATGGAATTGAATGCGGTCCCTCCAATTGATATGGAAATCCACCTTATGGACGGCAGGGGAAAAAAAGAAAGAAAGAAAGGAAATCCACATCCACATTATATATTTTTAAAAAATATTGAGTATTAAATAATAAAATTCAACTTTGTCCAATTGTTGAAATCAAATAATTAATTAAATGAGATTTCAACAACATTGATTTAACTAGTAAACACACAACTCATATCATACAGGAATATGCCTTCGAATCTTGATATAAGAACAATGTTAATATGTAACTTACAGTATCTCCTATTAAAAAAATGGGATTTCATGGCAAGCCACAATATCCTTATTTAAAAAAAAAAAAAACCCAGTCCTGGCGGGTCCATAAGTATATTGTTTTAATTGTGGTGATCTCCTAAAGTCAACTTATTTAAACTTTCCATGATAATAATACTTTAAAAAAAAAGAAGAATATGATGGGTGCTCCTTTTTATTTTTTTCATAAGTTATAATTTTTTTAAAAGGTATGGTATTTTTTATGAATTACTCTTTGGAAATGTCTAAGTGGTATTTTTTTCACTTTACTCATGAATAAATAAATAAATAATTTATCTCTTCTTCTTGTTTTTTTTTCCCCATGTTCATGAGATTCAACAGATTTTTACATTGGCTGTCGAGGGCCTAACACAACCCTCCTCCTTTATCCAAGTTTGGAACCGGCTATACTATACAGGCAGAGTATAGTGAATGAGGG